AATGGGCGATCGGTCGGCATCTTCGGTCGAGGCCGGCATCGCAGATCGTGGTAATGCAAACCCCATCTCACTTGGAAGCTGAGGAGGTTCTTCGGCGTCATCTTCGATCTTGGAAGGTCTGAGGGAATGAGGTGGTCGACCGCGTGGCTGGGCAAGCATCATCTGACTTCAGAGCTCCCCCAGGCAGAGCAACATCGAATAATCATGGTGGAAAGAGAGGCAGCACTCTTGAGAGGGAGGCTGTTGATGACGGCTTTGTGCTGCTTTCGGCACGACGCCGTCAAGGCCACCGCTGCGGCCAGAACGGCTCGGGAGGCGCGGCATGCGCGCCAAGTGCCAGCTTGTCTCGGGCGGGTGGTAATGGGAGGTGGCCTACGCGGGGGTGAAGAAAAGGGCCCGTGCAAGGGCTCATTTTTTCCCCCCCACTTTCAGGCTCCCCCCCATTTACCACCCGCCTGGTTGTCCTCCTCCTGCTCGTCCTCCTCCTCCTCCCGTGCCGCCGCCTGCCCCCTCTGCTGCAGCTCGCCTCGCGACTTCCCACACCCTGGCCGAGAGTGGCACGTAGGCAGCATGTGCCATGGGTCTGCCACGTCACCTTCGCAGTGCGAGTGGCAACACACATGATTGCGGCCCTCTAGTCTCGGTGGACGGTAGGGTGTCTCGGGCTACATGGGTGTGCCATATGCATATCGCTGGTGGTTGGGCCCACCCCTCACACGCCTTAGTGTTCCATCGTAGCCCTGGCATTTGATTCTGCAGCACGTATGGGTACACCGGTCAGCTCCAGCACAGGGGATTTGGCCAGCCATGTCAGTTACCCATTTCCAAGACGCGTCGCGAGCATTTAGAACGCTTTGCTCGCGACGTGCTCCCACGTGGTAGCCTGAGCCTCAAGCAGTGGCTTGTGCGGTTGAATGTTTTTGAATCGCTACGCGATGGCTGTAATCCCTTCAAAATTCCTGTGCAGATCCCACGAGGTCCCCAAGGGGCCTCAAGAGACCCCAAGAACCCCCCCAGAGGCCCCCAAGAGGCCACAGAAAGCTCCCAAGCGGGAGCCATGCGTAGTGACGGGTGCCAGAAACTCTCCCGAAAGCGAAAAATCGAAACCCCTTTTGAATTATTTCTGCGACTCCTCCCGCGCCCCAGCCAGTCCCCCCCCTCCTCCTCCTTCATCTCCTCCTTCTCCTCCTCTACCTGCTCTCCGCATCGTCTCCCTCATCCTTTCTTCTCCGCTGTCTCTTTGACAATCACTTTGTCTTCGGCGACCGATGTTGCCCCGGTGTCTCAGACGTTCCAGTGTGGTGCAATCTGTGTGGTGCGATCTGTATCATTCGATCTGTGTGTCGTGCAAAGCCTTTCTGCTGCCTTACCGCGCTGCAGCCTCCCTGCCTATCTTCCCCACGCGCGGTGGCGGATATGCGCGGCAGCGCAACCAGACGTAGGCATGAAACGCAATCCCCCTCTCTCTATATATGTATATATGTATATATGTATATATGTATATATGTATATATATATATATATACGCCGGCCCCCTTGCGGGGCCATCAGGCTGCGAAGATTAGGCTTGCGGCTCCCTGTGCCAGTTGCAGTTTCCAGTTTCCACTGTTACAGTCCTGCTTTCTGCTTCCTTACTGTTACTTGTTGCTGAACGCGCGAGGGGGGGGGAGCCGAAAAGCGTCCTGGCTAGCGTCCCCGAGTCGCGTTGTCTGAATTCCGGGGAGGTCGTGGGACACGTAGAAATACATGATATCCGCGTCCCCGAAGCCATCATCCCTAGTAAATTACACAAGATTCGCGTCCCCGAGGCCTTAGCAAAACCGTTTGAATTACACCATGCTCGCGTCCCCGAAGCCATAATCCTTCATAGGTTATACTTCATTGGAATCCCCGAAGCCATAAACCATTGTAACTTACACAATTTTCGCGAGCTGTAAACCCTTACGGTAAAGACAATCCGCGCCCCCGAAGCCATACACCTTCTAAATCTATGCGATATTCGCGTCCCCAGGGCCATACACCACTGTAAATTACACCATACTTGCGTCCCCGAAACCACAAACCCTCGCAAAGTATAGAGTATTCGCGTCCCCGAGCCCATAAAGCTTTGTAAACTACTGAATAATTGCGCCCCCGAGGCCATAACCCCTTCGTGAATTACGCAAGCTTTGCGTCCCCGAGGCCACAAACCGTCGTAACTTATGCGATGCTCGCGTCTCCAAAGCCACACACCATCGTCAATTACCTCGTATTCGCGCCACCGAAGCCATGAACCCTCGTAAATTAATATTGGCCCCCGCGTGCAGTCCCCACACTGCTTCACGTTAGAGTCCAGACATCCCAACACAGCTCTGGCAAGTCCCATTCTAAGAGAGGGGTGCGCGGCATGGGGGCGAAACCCTTACGGATAACTATGCATATTCAGAGGCATGTGCGTACACATGGTATATCTATCTATCTATATATATATATATACTAGAACCATCGCGCGCGCTTCGCGCGCGCTCAGGTTCTAGCAGGCCCCAGGCCTTGACGAATTCACTGCTCCACTGAAGTAGTGGACCACAGTCCACGCATACCAATCTGCATTCCGAAAGGCCTTCGAGGAAAATGGTTGTGTAGGGGGGCGGAGGCCGTATGAATCGGGTTCCCAGAAGGCCTTCTGGGAGCATGGGTTTGGGGCGTCTTGGGGAGCCTGTTGGGGCGTGCCGTCGTCATCGTCGTCGTCGTCGTCGTCGTCGTCGTGTTGCTACGACCCATTCCCGAACCTGACCTTGGGGGTGGCCTAACCTGGCGCAGCCCCGATTGGCAACAGACCCGACACGTTCCGTCCAAACTGAACGCCAGGTTCGCACTCGCCCAGCACGAAGGGACGGCAGCTGCGGTCGCCAGTTGTCTCGCGCCGAGTCCCTACCGGGACGGGCTGATTTTTGCCTCTTGAAGACCCTCTTGGTGCCCTCTTCGGCCATCTTGAAGCCATCTCGGGCCCTCTTGGGCCTCGCTGAGGCTATCCTGGGGCCCTCTAAGGCGTCCACGGAAACCGGAAGTCACGTTCCCGGAGAGGCTTCCAGGAACATGATTTCGAACGGGGCCCTCTTGGGCCTCCCTGAGGCCGCCTTGGGGAAGCCAGCGAGTATGCTGAAAATGCACGTTTCACAAAGGACATGGGCCGATCTGTGCCTCTTGAAGGCCCTCTTTGGCCCCTCTTCGGCCATCTTCAAGCCATCTCGGGCCCTCTGGGGCCTCGCTGAAGCTGTCCTGGGGCCAAGTAGGGAGCGCTGGGAGCCCGGAAACCATGTTCCCGGAGAGGCTTCCGGGAACATGATTTCGAACGGGGCCCTCTTGGGCCTCCCTGAGGCCGTCTTGGGGGCCTCCTGGGCCGGCTTCGGGGCCTCTTGGGCCGTCTCAGGGGGTTCGGTGAGCCCCACAGGCCGACCCTTTTGGGCCGTCTGGGGCCCTCTTGGGTCTCTCTTGGGCTGTCTTGGGGCTCGGCCATCTTGAAACCATATCCGGCCCTCGTGGGCCTCGCTGAGGCTGTCCTGGGGCCGTCTAGGGCGTCCTCGGAGCCCGGAAAACATGTTCCCGGAGAGGCTTCCGGGAACATGATTTCGAACGGGGCCCTCTTGGGCCTCCCCGAGGCCGTCTTGGGGGCCTCCTGGGCCGGCGTCGGGGCCTCTGGGGCCGTCTCGGGGGGGTCGGTGAGCCCCACAGGCCGACCTCTTTGGGCCGTCTGGGGCCCTCTTGGGTCTCTCTTGGGCTGTCTTGGGGCTCCTTGGGGGCGTTTGGGGCACTGTGAAGACGAAGCCAGCGGGTATGCTGAGAATGTACGTTTTACAACGGAAATGTGCCGATCTGTGCCTCTTGAAGGCCCTCTCGGGGCCCTCTTCGGCCATCTTCGAGCCACCTCGGGCCCTCTGGGGCCTCGCTGAAGCTGTCCTGGGGCCCAGTAGGGAGCGCTGGGAGCCCGGAAACCATGTTCCTGGAGAGGCTTCCGGGAACATGATTTCGAACGGGGCCCTCTTGGGCCTCCCCGAGGCCGTCTTGGGGGCCTCCTGGGCCGGCTTCGGGGCCTCTTGGGCCGTTTCAGGGGTTTCGGTGAGCCCCACAGGCCGACCCTTTTGGGCCGTCTGGGGCCCTCTTGGGTCTCTCTTGGGCTGTCTTGGGGCTCCGCGATGGCTGTCCTGGGGCGCTGCGAAGACGAAGCCAGCGGGTATGCTGAAAATGTACGTTTTACACAGGAAATGGGGCGATGTTTGCCTTTTGAAGGCTCTCTCGGGGCCCTCTTCGGCCATCTTCAAGCCATCTCGGGCCCTCTGGGGTCTCGCGGAGGCTGTCTTGGGAACCTCATGGAAGCCACTTGGGGCCTCTTGTGGCCTCTTCCGAAGCTTCTGGAGACTGAGGGCTGGAATTTTTGGCAAGGGGGCCACGATTCTTGTGAGGTGTGCAAGAAATTGGCCCGGGGAGCTCCCATGGCGACCAGAGGCACCAGCCGGCCCCCCCCCCCCAGCCTACTCCGATATGTATGTGTATATCTATCTATCTATCTATATATATTTATATATATGTATATTATATATATATATATGTATACATATGTATATGTATATGATAAGACGAACTGCAAACATACATATCATATCCAGGAAGCCGTGCAAACATCTCCTCGTGAACAAACATATATGTTGAACATGTGTATACTGGGAGAGAGAGAGAGAGAGAGAGAGAGAGAGAGAGAGAGAAAGAGAACTAACGAGATAGTTACGGGGAGTAGAGAAAGGGAGAAAGAGAAAGGGACCGGTGACAGAGAGGGAGAGCGAGAGCGAGAGCGAGAGAGAGAGAGAGAGAGAGCGAGCTGGAGAGGTAGAGAGGGAGGGAGGGAGGAAGGGACAAGAGAGAGAGAGAGGGAGAAACAAAAAAGGAACATAGAGAGCAAGAGAACGAAACAAAAGGGGATGGGGTGGACACGGCACTTTGGTGGCAGCAGACCCTGGCGATGGCACCTTCCACTATCTGGCCCGAGTACGTGGCGCCGCCCAGCAGATTGAGCGTTCCGTCCCCGGTGAAGAGTGGCCTGCCCTTTCCCTTCCTCTTCTCTCCCTCATGCTCCTGCTCCTCCTTCAATCCTCCTTCTATGCTTCCGTCCTTCGCCCTGCCTCCTCCTTCCCCTTCCCCCTCCCCCCCAATGCTGCGAATCCTCATCGTTTTCTTCCTCCGGCTCCAGCTGATGCTCATGCTCCGGCGGCTCCGATGGCCCCAAGGTGTTGCCTCTCCCCCTCTCTTCATCGTCTTACTTCTCCTCCATTTCCCCCCTCTTCCTCCCCTTTCTCTGATATTCTTTGGGCAGGCTGAGCACATTCCAAAAACCAGGCCACACCATCTGGGATTCCACGAAACCCACCGAAGACCTCCTCGCCCTTGTCCTGCTCACTCTGCTCCTCTCGATCCTCCTCCCTTCGGGGCCGCGTACGGTGGGCGAAGAGGATGACGGGGCGTATCAGCAGGAGCCTGTGACAATGTTCTCATCAAAGCGAATACGTAGCCGAAGGAGAGCTGAGAAAACACCAAACAATCAATTATTTCGACGGCAATGAACCCAATGCGAATCAGACAGCCGCCAAACAAGCCCGGAACGCCACACATGCCGACCTGCAATAGGCAAGGTGGTGTCGAGAAACCTGGGAAAGAAACGTCAAGAGGACACCAAGAACCACCTGTGAGAATTATGGTCCAGACCGCGATCAATCCCACCCGCCCGCCCAACCTTACAACTTAACTTCTCCACAACCCTTCGTAACAGAAAACTCCTCCTTCATACCGGAGGCCGTGCCTGCCGCGAGGAGGAGACTTGTCGCGAACCGAAACGTGCCAACTTCGACAAGCCCCTCACCATTGACGAGTTCACCCAGGAATCGGGTGGCGGCCCCGTCTAAAACAAGATCTGGAGCAAGGAATAATCCTGGCGTCGGCGGCACGCATATGCAGATTTTCCCTAATGGCATTTCGCTCGAAGGTTCTAATCAATAGGAAGGTTCCGCAAGTGGGACGGGGAGCGCGAGGACGTCTGGGTCTGGCAGCCGGTGCCGGGGGGGCTCTCTGGAGACCAAAAAGTCTCCTTACAGGCGCCCCGTGCGTCCTCCCCCGACTGCCCAACAGGAACCCTGCGCACCATTGGCACGGGGATGGAGGGGAGGAGGGAGGAGAGAGAGGAGGGACGAAGAGGGGGGAGGGATGAGAGAGGGGGGGGAGAAACGAGGAGGGAGGAGAGATGTCGTACAACGCGCGTCTCGCTGGTCCCTCGACGGCATGCGCTGCCCCAATCGTGGTGGTGGTGGTGCTGCTTGTGGCGGTGCTGCCGGTGTATGTGCTGATAACGGCTCTGCTGGTCGCAATCGCGGTGGCGGTGCTCCAGGTGTTGCTGCTGGTCGCTTTCGTGGTGGTCGCTGTCGTGATCGGCGCAGTCGTTGGGGTCCGCCGCCTGTTGCCGAGGGTAGGTGCTGGCTGGAGGCGGCCTGCTCTGTCGCGACCGCACTCCCAGCCCGTGGCCCTCGTGCTGAAATTGGTGCGAAAGCCGCATGCACGAGTGGCCACGCATGCCCACTGCGGGGCGTCCGCAGCAACCCTCCACGGCGGGGTGCCCATGGCGTCGACGACGCCCAGCCGCCGATCTCCGTGGTGATCAGCGAGATGCCTGTGCGCAGTGACACAGCGCAGGGTGAAACGTGCATGAGCCCGCCGGGGGTGCCAGGCAGGGGAGCGCGACCTGCGCTCGGGGGATCGCGAGCGCCCGCGAGGGCGGGCGGCTGGCGTGGGGGCTATGGCGCGGCGGGCGCCCGCCCGCGGCCGCGGGCAAGATGGCTGCGGGGCGCGGGGGCCACGGTTGCCAAGACACCCAGGATCGGGAGGAAGGAATAGCGGGGAGGAGGAGGAGGAGGAGAAGGAGGAGGAGGAGGAGGAGGAGGAGGAGGAGGAGGAGCCCCTCCCCTGTCATGGGCCCCACCTTTTTTGTTCTCGCTGGCTCATGGGTTCTGGGCTCGCGCTGCCGCTGCCGCTGGCTCCTCTGGGCGACGAGGACGGCCTCGCCCCCGTCGTCGGCGACATCAATCTCGTCGTCGACGTCGCCGTCTTCTCTGTCGGTCGTCGTCGTCGTCGTCGTCGTCGTCGTCGTCGTCGTCGTCGCCGTCCTCGTTCTCGCCGTCGTCGTCGTCGTCGTCGTCGCCGTCCTCGTTCTCGCCGTCGTCGTCGTGGGCGCCGCAGCCTCCATCGACGCCGTCGTCGTCGCCGCCGCCCCACCGTCGCCTTCGTCGTCGTCGCCGCAATCGTCGCCGCTACCTTCGCCCCTGCGCCACTGCTGCTTCCGCCCTCGTCGTCGCGCCCGTTCGTCTTCGTCGTCGCTGCGTCCGTCGTCGCCGTCGCCGTCGCGAATGCCGGTGTGGTCGTGCCGCGCCCGCTCCCCGCCCAAGAGAGCAAGGCCTTTGCTTGAGCGCGTGCGCCATGAACACGCCTGCAATCCAGGCCGTGGCGCCCCGGTTGTGCTCACCCGTGGTTGGTGCACCGCTGCGGTCAGATCGGAAGCCGTGTCGTGAGGGCACGTCGGCATGGCGGAGACACGATCTTCGCTTCCCCCCGCGGCCCTGAGCGCATGCATTGTGTGCTTGTGACCCACAGGAACTCTTTGGCGCCCTCGCTTTCGCGCGCCGTCTGGCCAGATCAGTTGCTTTGACGACGTTCGGAAACCGGATGTGCGAACAATACTGGTGCCTGTTACGAGCGTCCGTTTTCCAAATCGGCGCAACTGCTTGGCGATCAGCTGGTCTGCCAGCAGGCGCGCCGAGGCAGTGTCCCAAACTCTTTCGCTGGTGAATCTCAGGACCATCAGGTGAGGTATACTCTGGGTTTTCCCTAAATTGGTAGCGTGAGCACAGCTTATCAGAGAATCTGCATATTTGCATAGACTTTGTGTGTCTAAGCTGACCAGGACTTGAGATACGACGCGCGCCTCGTAAACCCTGTGCTCCCTACTCCTGCTCACAGAAGAATGGCCGCCCAAGTACACGCGCTGCTCTGCCCTGGGGATTGGCCGGTCGCTCGGGTCCTTCGTTTGTGTTGTACCCCGCCGCTCAATTCGGCGCATCCCTTTTTCGGTTCGTGGCCCCATAGGGAGCGCCACCGAAGAAGATATTCACACTTGCGGTACTCACGACTGCATATGGTTGGGTCCTTCGCCAAGCTATTTTCCTTTTGTTATTTATATACCAGAAATTCATGCGACGGCGACGGCGGCGACGGGCAGCACCGCCCGCAAAAGCCGCCACTCGCCCCGAGCGGCGGTGACGGCGACGGGGGCGACGGGCGGCAGCGCCCGCAAAAGCCGCCACTCGCCCCGAGCGGCGGCAACGGCGACGGTGACGGCGACGGCGGCGACGGGCGGCACCGCGCGCAAAAGCCGCCATTCACCCCGAGAGGGTTCAGCCTAGTAAGAAACCCTAAGTACAAGCACTGTTTGGGAACAAAGCACGGGGATAACGGCAGCCTTGAATGATGTCGGCTGCCCCGATTCTCTGCCTCGCACGGAGAACGATGTGCATCTGTATACGAAAACCACCATGTCGATGTATGCTTTTAGGAAACAAATCTGCGCAGAGCCAATTGGGGTCGCGGTCGTGGTCCCGGTTGTGGTCACCGTCGTTCCTCGTCGGCGTCGTGCGTTGTCGTCGTCGCCGTTGTCGTCACCGTTGTCGTCGTCGCCGTCGTCGTCGTTGTCGTCGTCGTCGTCGCTTGTCATGGTCGTGGTCGCCGCCGTCGTCGTCGTCGTTGTCGCCGTCGTCGCCGCGGTCGTGGTCGTCGTCGTCGTTGTCGCTGTCGTGTCGTGATCGCCGCCGTCGTCGTCGTCGTCGTCGTCGCCGCCGCCGCCGTCGTCGTCGTCGTCGTCGTCGTCGTCGTCGTCGTCGTCGTCGTCGTCGTCGTCGTCGCGCCGTGGTCGTGGTCGTGGTCGTCGTCGTCTTGGGCGCACGCAGCTCCTCCGCCCGCGCCGGCGCTGAGGCTCGCGCCGCTGCCGCTGCCCGCGCTGCCGCCCCGCCGGCTGGGCTCGGAGCCAGGCTCGGAGACCCAGCCGCCTGGCGCGCGCTCGCGCGGGGTGCCGCAAAGGAGAGCTTGCGCACCGCAGGGGGCCCTGTGGCACATCCGGGCCAGCCGATCCGTTTCAACACCACTTCGGCTCCGAGCCGATGCGGCCGACTTCGCGACTCGATGCCGGCCAATCCTGCCTTTGCTCGAGCGGGAAGGGAGCACGGGGCCGACTAGAGGTCTCCCAAATGGGGTCCGAGTGGAGGGGGTCGGAGGATTGCGCCGCATCGCCGATGCATCGCCGACGCGATGCATCGGCGATGCAATGGCGACGCTGCGCTGGTGGCGTATCGGCGACGCCGGCGCGGAGAAAATCTGTCTCCACATCGAACCGCATCGGCGATGCATCGGCGATGCGGCACGATCCTCAGACCCCCTCTACTCGGAGGGCCGACTGCGCGGGCACCCGCGCGCGGGCTGCCCGGGCGAGGTCTCCGCGCACCCTCAGGTGCGCTGCGGTCGTGGCCGGGCGCTGCCAGATTGGTCCCTGGCCCAAGGTGGCCTCAGCTCTTCCCCCGGGAGGGCTGCAGGTGCTCCGAAGCGGCGCGAAGAGCTCGTGGCCTCTTGAGGCACGGGGCCGCTTCTGGCAACCTCCGACCTTTCGAGGGTGGAGAGAGAGCTCCCCTTTGGCTAGCCCGCTGGGGCACACTCGGATGCCAGCGTCGAGTGAACCCGTACAGACTTCTGCAGTCGACTTGTCTGGGAAGGCGTTTTGTCAAGGCCCGGATCTTTGGGGGGAGGGCGCCCTGGCGCCCCTCCAGAGCACCGAAGGTCACTCCGGCGAAGGGCCACTCTTGCCCAGAGATCCGCTGCACTGTTTTTGAAATGTGGGGTCCCCGGAAGCACCGACCCTTTCCCCAGGCCTGGTTTTGCATCATGAACTTTTGTTTGACGGCCCTGAGGCCCGGCGGGGGCCCCCAGGGCCGACAGCGTCGCAAAACCTCCACACCGAATTCATCAATATGTTGGTGGTCTGGGTTCGTGTGGCTGGTTTGGGAGGAGGGGAGACGTGTTCACCCCGAACGCCTCTGTAGACGTGATGACAACTAGTGCGTCCATCGACGCCTGCGGTTAGAAAAATGAGCACGGCATCTTGCATAGGCTCCAGAAGCAAGTCTTTTTTGGGGGGAGGGCTGGCGGCCGTGGGTGGCTCTCGAGCGGCGGTCGAGCGTCTGCCCAGACACGGGGGCGGACGCTGATGTTGCGCACCGGGGGCCAGGCGGAGAAGTAAAGATCAGAAAAACAACACCACCCTCATACTACGCATCCCGAGAAGCAAAGCCGCTTAGCAAACGCACGCAAGGAAATAATCGAACAGGGCAGGGCTGCTTAGTAAACGCCCAGGGCCGTTTAGTAAACGAAGGCTATGGGGGTCGGGGTGGCTTTTCCTCATTTTGAAGTGGGGGAAACCAAAAAGTGCAGATGCCGCTACTCCCCAGAACTCTCCCGGGGATCATTATGATCAGATTTTCGAGGCGAGTCCAGCCGTGGCGACGAGGGCCCCCCAGGAGGCCCAAAAAGGTTACAAGGAGGCCAGGGTCGCCGTATCGGCACCTTCTCCTCCACCTCCGAGGAGAAGGGAGGCTCGAGGAGAGGCGGCGCTCCGCGAGGCGGGTAGGAGCAGGTAGACCTTGCCCTCCAAGGGCTGGGCGCAGGAAGGAATCGAACAGGGCAGGGCTGTTCAGAACACGCCCAGGGCCGTTCAGTAAACGACAACTCTGGGGGGTCGGGGTGGTCCTTCCTCCCTTGAAGAAGGGAGGCTCGAGGAGAGGCAGCGCTCCGCGGGGAGGGCAGACGCACGTAGACCTTACCCTCCAGGGGCTGGGCGCCTTCCTCCCGAGACCCAGCGCCTCGGCGGGCCGCCGGAGCCGAAGGCAGAATCGAGACAACATCGGACGGATATAGATAGGGAATCTCTGAGAATCGACGGGTTTAGAGGATCTGTCGAGCGTCGCGGCCTTCTCAGAACTTGCCGGAGCGCTCTGAGAGCGTTCTGGAACTCTCTGGAGCGGATTCATCTCGGCTCAAGACCTGCCTGACTCGGGGAGCCTGGCCCCTCGCAGCCCGACAGCCGCGCGCCGAAGGCCACTCCCCTGAGACCAGGCCGACACAAACAGTGAATTATTCAGCTGCCCCGTCTCAGCAGACGGCTCTGTCTGGCCCACAACGGATGCAATGACTCGGCGGCCTGGTTCTGGCCCTGCGTGAAGCGTTCCAACTTGTAGGACGGAACGCCAGAGTGCCTTGCCGAAGCCACTCCCCTCGCGTGGGGCTCTCTGCATGACCCATAGTAGAGGACAACCGCTCCCTCTCGAGGCGTCTACTGGGCAGCCAGCGATGTATTCGCTCCCTCAGAGCGACCAAATGGCCGCGCTGCTGCTGAGGATTCAGGCAGGGGAAGAGGCGGCGAAGAACGCTGCCTCCGCCTCTTCGGCAGGCATGGAATAGCCTGCTACCCATCTGTTAAACTGTGTCAAGCACGAAGACACTCGACAGGCAGCGCCGCAACTCTTATTCGGACCGCGGGGCAGGCCGACAAAGAAAAGCGAGCCAAGCAAGGGCAAGAAACGGGCAGGAAAGCGAGGAGCCGAGGAGCGAGAAGGGAAGAAGGAAGGAGGGATGACAGACCTGGCCGACAGACGGCCGGACAGGGGGACGGGGAGGAGAAGTCAAGCAAGGAAGTAGCGGGAGAGCACCCACACCCACGAGCCAAGAAACACCAGGGCAATGAGAGGACACGGAGAGGGAGAGGGGAGAGGGGGGAGCCGAGAGCCAAAGACGAGGCAAGGGAGGAGGGGCGCACAAGGGCCCGCGCAGCCCTACAGCCGCGCGCCGAAGGCCACTCCCCTGAGATCCTGGCGTTGGAACCTTTTCACAACGGGCGCTTTCGCTCGTTCTCGGGGCCCGGGGCTATCGCATGTCGATCCAGATTGAACAATGACGCAGGAAGATGAGGTCTGCAGTTCCTGTGGCGATTGTTGCGATGTTCTCGTTCTTTTCTGCAACGTCAGATCTGAGGGTCCGGCGAGGGGCTTCTCTTTCGCGGTGGGGGGATGGGGCGGGCGCCCCCCCTCCTTTCTTGCGATCCGACGTCGCGAGAAGAATCCAGCATCGCGAAACATCACGGGGAGACCTGGGCCCCACCTTTCTGCAACATGCTTCGAGCAGGCCCGATCCCCGAGGGCCTCGAGGCCCGAGGCAGGGCAAACGCCCCCAAGGAGCGAAAAAGCTGCGACGCTGGGATCTCAGGGCCCCCCTCCCCCCCACCCTGACCTGGGGGTGGCCTCCCCGCGGGGTGGGGGGGGGGGGGAGGGCGCCCCCTCTGAGGGAGCCTGGCTCCGAGGACCAGCCGCCCTGGCGTCAGAGCGCGCGCCCCGGCGTCAGAGCGCGCGGCGGGGCAGGTGCCGAGTGGTCGGGGAGGGGAGACGGTGCCCGGGCCAGCACGAAGGAGACGAGCTCCGAGGACGGAGGCTTTTGGTGACTTGTCCGCCCTGGCAGCCCTAGGTATCCTCTCCCCTGTCGCCTAGTCTTTCGTCCGCCCCTGCGCCCGTGTCGTCGTCGTCGCCGTCGTCGTCGCCGTTGTCGTCGTCGTCGTCGCCGTCGTCGTCGACGTCGTCGTCGTCGTCGTCGTCGTCGTCGTCGTCTTCCGAATCGTGTGGGATTTCTGAGTGTGCAGGATCTGGCTTTGCACGGCGTAGGCTACGGCCGCATCGATACTTGAGAAGCTCCTCGTCGCCACAGCCAGAATCTCATCGGAATTTTGGACAGAACGCGCCGTGGATGGGCCCAGGGGTAAATTCAAACCGAGGTCACCATGAAGAACACAGGTCTTGGAGGGGAAAAACATTCTTGACTCTTGACGTCTTCCGTCTTTTTCGAACTCATGGGGCCTGGCAATACCTTGTAACGGCGTCTCAGGAAGAGAAGCTGGTCCTGGGGAAGGCCCGGGTCCAAGACTCGTCCCCACAAGCTCCCTGGCGAGGCTTGAGATTTGCGCGCAGGCAGGCCCCCGAGATACTCCCGGCTGCCCTCAACAGGCCCTCCGAGGCAGGCAGCCCGTGGCCGGACGGCCCGAGCACCCTGGTGCGGACAGACTCCGATGGCTTGACCCCCCCTGGCCCTGGTTGCCGCGACTTGTGTTCGCCGCTTGTGACTTGAAATCCTGTGAGCTCCTGTGGGTTTCTACAGTAAACGTACACGATAAGACATTCTGCCAAAAAACATCCTGGGGCACAATCTTCGTCGAGCTCTGGGGGTCCTAAGGTGCCCACCCCAAGGCCTCTGAACATCCCTGGGGCCATCAAGGGATAAGAAACTTCTGACGTGCCTACGGTATGTCTGCTGCCCCTGCCGGCCCTGATTGCCGCACTTTCAGGTGGCCGCTTTTTGGGGGGCCCGCGGTTCAGAACGGACCGCAGTGCAGTTCTCAGATGAAGAAGCCGGGGGGGTCCACCCCCGTCGTGGGCGCAAGAGATCAGGAGGTGATCATGTGCGGTCCTCCACGCCAGGGTCGCGGCCGTCGAAGCTCGGCGGCCTGCTATGATGACCCGTGACTCCAGCTCGCCGCAGCCGGCCAACCGGCTCGACGGGCAGCGGCTCGTGTCCCGGAGAACCCCCGACTCTGCCGCGTTCGACGCTGCAGGGGCGCCCGCGCCGCACCTCGACACGCGCGCAGCCTGGGAGCAGGAGTGCCCGCCGGTCTGCCCACGCCCAGCTGGCCCCCGATCTGCCCGGGGCCGGGGGCCCGGGCGACCGGCGACCTCCTGCCGCGGGCGTGCTTCGGCCGCAGCGGCGCCCTCCGACAGCTCATTCGCTGCGCTCGCTGCGAGGGGCGGTGGCAGCCGCAGCGTGCACCCTGGCGCTCGGCGGGCCGAGCGCGGTCTACACGCGCGGTCGACAAACTCTAGACATCGACTCTGTCTCCGGCGCTGGACTGACACTTGCACAGGGCGCGGACCCTGGCGTACACGGGATCCCGGTGTACACATTT